AAAATGGTATACTACCGTAAAATTAATGTCCAATACATGTAATGTCCAATACAGTTTTTCACCGTATATAGTAGGGGAATTTACCGTTAACCATTTAACAGGTTTTTACTGTAGCATTTTTACAGTCTTTTACCGTTAAATTCACGGTAATTTTTTGCAGCATTTTTTATTTATTTTATTTATTTATCTTTACAGTGTACTTGTAGTTTGTCTTGTTTTTCATTACAAATATATATAAAAAATCTTAAATCAACATTTACTTTAGAAGAAAAATTTATGATTTTAAGTCTGAAAAATATATCACAATTTCTTGAAATTTTCAGAAATGTCCAGACCAAAAATTACCTGTGCTTTTTTTCTGTTGTTTTGTATGTAATTTTTTTTTTACAGCGAATTTTAAATTTTTTTTATCTTGTTTTCCAGTATAAATATTGAAAATGCTTAAATTAACATTTACTTTAGAAGAAAAATTAATGATTTTAAGTCAGAAAAATATATCACAATTTCCTGAAATTTTCAGAAATGTCCATAAAATGAATGGACAATGTCCAGCCAAAAAATTACCTGTACTTTTTAATGTTTGTTTTTGTTTTTACAGCGCATTTAAGTACTTTTGTCTTGTTTTCCAGTATAAATGTTGAAAATTCTTAAATTAACATTTACTTTAGAAGAAAAATGACTGATTGTATCAAAATGTCCTGAAAGATGCATTAAAATGAAGTGAGTTTATGCTTAAAACAAGAACAAATATCTGCCAGTGGAGTAAGAAAAGTAGATTTTTCCGAGCTCATTAGCAGATGATTGTTCTTGTTTCAAGCATAAACTCACTTAATTTTGATGCATTTTTCAGAAAACAAGACCTAATATCTTCAGTCATTTTGCTTCTCCAGTAAATGTATCTTGATTTAAGAATGTTTAGATATTTGTACTGGAAAACAAGACTAACATACTGCGGAAGAACATCATTTTGTGCAGCGTGTTTGGTTTTAGCTTCACTGCATGTCAACACAAAACCCCAGGAACACAGAAGAGATTGTGTCTGTTCCCATTACGCTTTTGCTTTAAATGGATTAACCCTCGTAATCCTGCTCGTGTTTGATGGCTCTGACATTCTCTCTCTCAGGATCTCGTGAATGAATTGGACGTGGACGTGCATATATTGATCACGAGTCGATGATGCTGTCGATGTAGACGCAGATGTTTCCTACCATATAATAATGTGAGCAGAAAAACACAATTTCATGCAAGAGTTTCCTCTCTTAGAGTCAAATAACCATCATTCAGCCTGATGCATGAAAAACACAGCAAACTAATACCTCTACTTCTGTTTACATCTGCTGGCCCGATTTAAAGAGATATTTCAGCTAAAATCTGTTCTGTCATCATTTCTTCAGCCTCATGATGTTTGACAGCAAAAAATGAATTTA